TAATATTTGTAAGAGGATTTTTCTTGATTCTAAAAGAAGATACTATGAGAATGTTTAGATGAAAATCGAAACATGATTTTAAAAATAATTTTACGAAATTCAAAAAAAATATATAAAGAGTTTTGCCTCAACGTACGTAAAGCTTTTTCTTAATTGATTTTGGGGTATCCTCAACTCCCTGTGTTAGATAAGAAAATGTACATTATTGGATTGATAAAATTAATTTTGTGAAGGGCCAAGATGAGTTTATCAATTAGTGAATATTCAGCTCACAATTAGAGATATAAATAGCCAAGCCCTATCAGGGGCCTATAACTTGGTCTAATTAAGGCATCATATGGCTTAGTTTGTTTAACAAATAGATTAGGCCTAAGGCCTATTTAGAGGTCTTTTAAGGTGAATAGGCTTAGCTTTTAAATTTAAAGCCTAACCTAGAAGTGTGTAGGTCTAACATGATTAATTTTTTAAATATATATTAAAATATGTTGGCTTCAAAGTGTACAAAAAGCCTATATTTGTACATGTTTTAGTAGGTCCAAAACCTATTTAGGACCTTCTATACTTGAGACGTGAGGTCTTTTCAAAGGTTTACATTGTAAGCTAGTCTTTAAAAATGTTTGAGGCTTGCCAAACCTTTTGAAAGTTTAGACCTGAGCCTAAAAACAAACCTATATACATGCTCATACTTTAAACTTTTGTTACGTGCTCAAGCTTATTTAGTTAAAATCTCATATGGTCTAACTTATTTCTATCCCCACTTATAACGAAAAAACTTATGACCCAATTCACCTAAACTTTTTTGAAAAAAAGATTCCCTATAGTATGGATGAGGTGAGTTTGGGATTATATAAATCATTTAAATTTATAATTTAAAACTTTTCAACAAATTTTTTATTACAAACATTATGGGTTAATATAATTTTTGGTCCATCAAATTTGCTTTCATTTTGATTTTAATCTATCAAATTTTAAACCATAACTTTTGATCCCTTAATTTTTTTCTGTATAAAATATTGGTCTCTATATTTTTTTTGTAATAGTACTAAAACCGCATTACAAATTAGATGAAACAAACAAAACCTAGTTTCCTCTATCAACATCCCTCTCTAAACTAGGAGGTGGTTGATCTAAGATATAAAAGGTACCCTTTAAAGAATGGGATAGCTTAGCCGAGTGATTAACAATCATCAAAGATTCTCTCGAAACATGAGAAGGAGCAATGGGCTAATCTCTGTGACATAAAAGCCTAGCTTCATCAATAATGTTCTTGAAAGGGTGATTTGCCTTACAGCCTTTACAGAAAAGGGAGAGGGCTTCAATGCAATCTATAATGCAAAAGAACTTGTTTGTAACCTTTTACCCAGCACAACTTGAGAGAGTGTATAAATCCAATCAACTCTGCAATTGCCGAAGGAACAGAAGGCAATTTACCACTAAAACTTAGAATCCACCATCCTTCTTTATCCTATAGTGCTCCCCTACAACCACTCTTTTAATCTGGTGGAACAGAACCTTACACTTCAAACTTAACATACTCCCCCTGAGTACCATTACTACTTCCCCTATTACATTGGAAGCTAGTATAGAAGTTACACAAGGAGATTAACTCTTTATCCCAATAGGCTCTAAAGAAGTTATCGATAGCACTGCTACTACTCGAGTCATCTCTAGAACCAAACAATTTATTACAACCCGACACCCATATATCCCAGCAAATGTATCCAAACAACACTACCCACTGGATCTTTTTAGTAAAAGGTTGACCAGCCTACTTGCTTAAATTCCATTTGACCCGGTCTACCCCCTGTTTTGCACAGAAGGTTGGCCTAAATTCTACTAAAACTATTGATTCCCGTTGTCAGTGAGCATTGGTGCAATCCCTAATCAGGTGCATTGAATCTTTCATGTCCTCGCATCCAAATAGACATGTTGCAACTTCCATGAGTCCTCATCTAGCTCTAAAATTAGCTGTATGTGTTCGTCAATGAGTAAAGAGCCACATGAAGGTGTTAACATCTTCCAAATGCTATCCTCCTATTGATGAGTACCTGCAAGTGAAAAACGATATGCAAATTTAACAGAAAAACAACCATCAGTGGATGGTCTCAAAAACATTTTATCCTCTCCTCTCTCCTCACAGGGTGGATATGTGCAACAACAATTTGATCAACAACATGGTGAGGAAACTAATGGCACATCTTTTGTCTATCCCATTTCCCCCAAGGGGGTTACATAATCGCTGACTTCCTCGTCCTTATCAATCTTACACTCCAAGTCAGGTACCAAGTCAATAAGCAGTTTATGTATCTTTGACCAATTCTCATACCAAAAGAAAATATTGTTCTGAACCCCAATTTTTTTTTCCACGCCATTCTTAAAATGACTCCAAACTTCACAAATACCCTTCCAAGTGAGGGAACAATTATGGGGTTTCTTTATTAGTGGCAACTCCATGGTACCACAATTGTATTTACTCCTCAAGACTTTCACCCAAAGAGCCTCTTTGTCTACCACAAGGAAGGTTCCAGCAGAGCTTCAGGAGAAAAGCTTCATTTTTCTTTCGTAACTTCTTGATTCCCAAACCTCCAAATTTCTTCTCTTAAGTCACGTGATCCCATTCCATTAAGTGAACCTTTTGGTTACTATCTCTTTCATCCCATATGAAGCTCTTGCTAGTCTTTTCCAAGACTTTTATCAACTGCTTTGACAGGAGGATTGTCTGCATATAGTAGGAGAGAAGAGCAGATAAAACTGCCTTAATAAGCCTAGATCATTTTGTCCCTTGAGAGACAAAAAACCTTTGGCTTGAAACTTTAGGGACCAAATCCAAAATGAGTGCAAATTTAAGTGACTAACAATTGTATTGATCGAAACATTTAGAAACACAGTCAATTATATATTTTTTCGACCAATAATTATATATTTATTTAAAAATTTAATCAAAAGTTTATTCATTTTTTTTGTTTACATTAATTAAGTACTTAAGTTTCTGTCCCAATTTGATAAAAGTACTAAACAAATCACTGTTAAAAAAATAAAAATAAAATTGTGAAGAAGAAAAAAAACCTAAATTCTTCAAAAAGATTCAATCAAAATCAAAGATATAATATGCTGAAGGATAAATTAGTAAATAAAAAGTATGCAAATATAAATTTTAATTAAAAAATATCTTTTTAGAATAATTTGAAATAAACCAACAGTTTGAATTTAAGTACATATTTTTAAAATAAAAGAAAATTTTTTGTAATAAAAGCAAAATATGAGAAATTTTACAATATTTTATTTTTAATTTTTTTTATCATGAACTCCTTGCCATTAAGGTACTATTTTTTTTTTTTGACAAATATTGTCACATCATATCAAGAGGAGACATAGGCAACTTAAATGGCGTCCTATGTATGTTTTAATAATGTTATAAAAAATCTGTGATTTTTAAACTAGTTGTGTACTTTTAATATCTTAAAATTTAAATTTTAGCACCCTAAAATTTAAAGGAATTTGTAAATTACGTATGATGTCATGTAGAATGCTCCTATTAATCAGATATGATAATTTCTGAAAAAGAACAGTAGTATTGTCTTAACCACAAAAGGTTCACGATGAAAAAGTAAGAGGTTGGAAGCTTAGATTGAAATTTTAAAATATTGGGGTGTGCGATTGACCTAAAATTCAAGGGGTTTTACATAATCTAGCCTGTAAACGTAGTTTTTGCATTGAGAAATTAGTTTTCCACAAAGGAAATTAAATTTAATAAACAAATTGAAGGAAACAAGGCCAAGCGTAATGTGACGCCGTAAACAATGATCATGGGGTCTCACTGATGCTGCAAATTCTTTTGCCTCCCCGAGACTTCCCTGGGCAATCCGAAGACTGAAGAGCATGTGATGGTCCATTGTAACGTTTAATTTGAAGAGTAATAAAAATTGACAGAATGCCTGCCAAAATTTTAATTTAAAGCTATACTTTTAACAAATTTTTGATCAGGCAATGATGCTTAATTAGAGATTTTTGAACATGATTAAAAAACCAAAATATTCCCTATAACTAGGGGTTTTCATGGAGCAAAAAAAAAAAAAAAACTAAGGGTGTTAATAAGACGAGATAGACCCATTCCAATGGTGTTCCCTCTTGATTGGGATGAAACAGGAACGTTCCGTCCTTTTTTGGATTTTTTTTATCTTTTAAACTAAAAATTAACTATACATAAAATATAAGAAAATAGATAAAAATAAGAAAATGACGGGAAAAAATTGTTTTTTTGTCATCAAGAGATACAAAAAAAAAACTTAAAATGTTTAATAAAAAAGGCATCATGTAACCCATACAAAAACAACTTATAAACAAATAATCAAAATAACAATTGATAAATATCATTACCAAAATATTATTACAATAATAAATAAAATAAATTTATAAAATTAAAAATAGAGATAATATATTAGGATGAGACTAGGACAGGACACTCATGTCCTGAAACAATTTTGCTTTCAAGACGAGGCTGTCTCGTGCCAAAATATTTGGAATAGAAACGAAACGATAGAATGAGACACAGTTGAACACCCCTATTTGTAATTGAAAAATAAAATTAAAGGTAAATGTGGTCTTGACTTTTTTTTTGGTGCATGTTTTTTCCCAAAGTTTAAAATTGTAAAAGGTTACTCCCTGCTATTAAAAATGTTGACAATCAACATTACTATTTTAACAATAAACCTTAATTTTTTTTTTTTAATAATAACAGGAATCATTGTTACAATTTTAGACTTTTTGTACAAATCTGTACAAAAAAACTTTCTGGTAGCCAGTGGTAGTAAAACTTTCTAGCACAAATTAATACGTCCATCCTAAAAATTACCCCATGCAGTTTAATGTTCAAAACTTTATTTGGTAAGTCAAGACATTTAGTGGCGTCTTCTATTTTCACTACGCATCACTTTTGGCAAACCCAAGCTGACAACTTAAAGAGAAGTAAATTCGAAACAATTTTAGCTCATGCATTTCCCCTGAAATTTTAGTTGATTCTGGATTGAAAATGTTTTATGTACATGATTTCTATCTCTACAATGAGAACAATGATACAACACAAATTACATATGGCCCACTGGGATGTTTTATAATACATAAACTGGCAGCTAACTGAGATAGTAGTGTCTTAAGAAGGAAACATCACTACATACTGTAATCCATGGAGCATTGTAGAAGGTATGAGCATTCTGGAGTGTAAAACCATGGAGGTAAGGCAATGGAATTCCTCCGCTTAATAGCCAGTTCACTAATGGCAAGACGGTGGTTCTGAGTATGGTTGATACTGCTAACTGCATACATTCAAGAGAATTGAAGTCAAGTTGATAACTATCTGCCTGAAAGTGTATTCCTCATGTCTTTAATATAAAACTTACTCAACTAATGTTTTTTTTTTTTGGCCTGAACTCAACTAATTTGAATAGATTGAAGAAGTGTGACATGATCTCCCTAAAATACCCTTGTGTAATATTAGATTATATGTCAATATATAAGTTATGTAAATTAGTTTGGGAGAAAATGATAAATACAAGAGATAAAATAAATGGAGGTCTTTTATTTATTTATGACTAGAACCAACCCCTAACTGGCTCTTATATTTAGGATCGGAGGAGTTACAATCAATGATCATGTATTTCAAAATATGTGGAAGTATAAATCAATTGATTTGTAAACATGAAAGGGTATGGGCACTTGACAAGTTAAGCTAGCACGAGCCATCTACTTAACAGATGTTGTGAATAGTAGACAATGTCATACCACGCTGCAATAGTCATCAATTGTTTAAAGTTCAAGTTCACCTTGTTTTCCATATAAATACGAAGATGTAAACTGAAAAGATGCTAAAAAAATGAAGATGACATTTATTCAGATTTACCTGGATCAGATGCATGCGCAAAGGACCAATCTTGCTCCATTTTAAGTATGTGGAAAAACCATTCAATCTGAGACTTCCAGCAATGTCGTTTCGGAGGATTTCTGCAGAACATGAAGCACTAATGTCCTGTATCAATAAGCAAAAACATGTAAACTGAGAACACCTCGATTATAGCAATAATATATTCATTATATAAACTTTTAACTACCGAAAGAAATAATTTTATGTGAAAAATAGAATCCTAGACATTCAGAGATGGAAAAGAACACGAGCAGTTTTGAAAATTCAGTATAAAGACTATAAAGTAGGCATGCATTTAAGAATATGGAATCAAAAGTGAAAAGCATCAATGTCATATAGCTTCTTTGAGAGCACAAGCATCCCATAACTTTGACATTCTAGTTAAGCATCTTAGCTCCCACTTTTGAATTTCAATTCATAGCAGATATTGTTCTCGAGCCTTCGCTCTAATTATAATTTTCATTTTCAAAACAAGGCCTAGTAGATCTGATCATCGTCTGCACTTCAAGACCAATGGGTTTCATGGGTAACAGTGTGGTATATATTATGGTACAATTATTCAACAGTCTTCACTTTATTAAATTTTTTCAGTTGAGGTATTTCTAACACTTCATTCAAGCATACCACTGAAATACAAGCAACTTCCCCAGCATCCTCAACATCAACTATTATATCTACATGAATGGTAGCGCCAATATCTTGGCTGGTCACTTGTATAATTGGTGGAGATGATACTGAGATATTAAGCTCCATGTCTTTATTTGGATATTTCTTGTATAGTTGAGGAACTATGAATCTCCATGCAGCTGTGTTCAGAAGGGCCTGATCTGGTAGTTTATCAACCATCCATTGCATGTAACCAGCCTGTGGGTAACAATACCATCAGCTAACTATCAAACTATAATTCAGTCCATAATAATGTAGAAGCATCCACCATAAATGTGAGTCGATCAATTGGAATCATTTAACTAGTGTCTAACAACAGATTGGCTCTATTCTTGCTGCTGTTGCTGCTATAAAGAACTCGAATAGATATTATGGGGAAGTTCGAAAATCCAAGGTTGATTTCAACAACAACAAAGCAATAAGAGCTATGGAATTATGCTCAAGTCCAAACCAATGGAAGGCAACATGATCTGCCACTTAATGCCATTCCATTACATTCTAAACTTCCAAACGCTCCTTAAGGGCTTGTTTAGGAGGTTGGGGTGGGAAATTATCCAAACAGCTGTTTGGACCCTAAGAAGTAATAGGGTGAGATGGATTAGGATGGGTTTCCAAACAAAGGAATGAGAACTCCACCCACCCACTCTGTAGGACTCCTAAACAATGTCTGAAGCTTTCGCGACTGACCTTCATGAGAAACAAAACACTGAAATAATTGGACTAGGACATGAAAGTGTGAAAATAGAAACTTTCTGAAACTTACATTGAAGTAAACCAAGGAAGCAGAATTTAGCACATCTTCATGCAATGAAATCTTGATCATCTTATACAAACCACCACAGCGAAAAGAAGTCTCTGGTTCTCTGTGGAAACATTGAGGAACTAAAATTTCCTTTTTCCCTGTGAATAGACCATTGATTTCAAACTCAATGGAAGAATTAGTCAACACAGGATTGTTCACGAAAGAAACATTTAGTACAGCGGTTTCGCCCAGGGAGATTTCTTTTGGTAGGGACTGCAATGAACTGCTAAGCTTCAATATCCCTTCTCTTATTTTACCAGAAATGGCATCTTCAACTGCAGATGCTATTTTCCCTTCAAAAAGATCCACTATCCTGGAACGAACATAAAGAAATTAATAGCATGTCATCTTCATCTTTTTGATGATACTGAGAGCAGCATGTGAACCATATTCATACTGGCATAGAAGGAAAATCATAGTATTTTGTGAACATTGTCTGAAAGGAAAAACTTATCAAATAAAAGCAAACTACTTGAAAGAGGCTGGTGGAGGCAATTAATGGAGACAATATGCTTATAGTAACAGAAGAAATCCACACTTCAATTAAGCTTTTGTCAACATATGGATATTCTGTTGTATGCTTTAGGCCAATGCAGAGCTCCTTCAATTTTGTGCCATTTATTATCCTGTTTCATTTGATTGAGAAGTCAATTGACATGTATCTAGCAAATATAGCTCTGCATTTACCAATATAATAAATTAGCAAACACATATTTCACAATAATAATATGGGAAACACAATTTCCAACAACAAAAGAAGTAAAATTCTCCAAGAAAGAACATGTTAACATTCTTCATTCATAAAAAGACACGGCTTAAGAAGACTGCTTACCTTTGGTAAAGCCAAGATGCTCCACCTTTCAATTTTATGAGCAAGTCTTCTACGTAACATCCATGATCTAGGAGAATCAGCTTCAGACTACCTTCTTGGTTCTCGAAATTTATAGTCAGGCCCACTTGCATGCCTTTGACCTTCAACGCATAGCACAATTTAGAGAGATATATTTTCAATTTTACCTGAAAAGCTGAAAATAAAGCACATGTGCACCAAAAATGCTGCTGTCCACAAGATTTTGCCAATCAGATACTGGCATACATGAGTTTTATGGTTTGCCTAGGAACCACAACTGTTTTTGTTACCCCCTTTATCAATTTATTGTAGGACGGCGTAAGAGGTCTAGTTATATTTGAACAGAACTCATCTTGAATTCATGTGCTATGTAGCTACGGTTTGAAATGCACATCTTTTTATATATGAAACGGCTGAAACATTTGAAGTTGCTTTATATTTCTCCATATAATCAACTTTTGCAAAATATTTGCCATTTCTTCTAGGCCTAAGCTGCTGAGTTCAAGCCCAATACACTATAAATGGTAAGTCAGATATGAAACCTCTGCAACAGTACAGAGAGAGGTAAGGCTAAACATAATTAATATATGTAGCTTTGATTTTCAACGAGCGTCACAAAATAACTTTTTACCTTCACAAAGGCGTTCCCACTATCAGAAACAGAAACAGGCAATAACCAAGTGCTACAAGAATAACTCCAGTTCATACTCAAATTAGCTGTGCCGCCTGAAGCGATTAGAACTATTCCCCTCTCTCCAGTCTTAACATATGAAGAAGTTATGTTGACATCAACAAAAGTAATATTGGAAAGAACTATTTTACATTTACCAACGAGCCTGACTCTGGCAGACTTCTCGATTTGAGGCAGTTGAAGTGCAACAAGAGATGACATAGCTTCGCGGATGAGCAAATCTTTGGCGTAATCAAGACCCTTTTCAGATATGGCCCCTGAGATGAAACCTTCTTCTCCATTAAGTCGAAGAGAAACACTTGTTGGAATCAATAGAAGAAGTAAGGAAACGAAGAACATGTTAGGTGCCATCCTGCCGGGAAACTTGTGAAGAAGCTTGGGAAGTTAAAACAGAGTCGCATGAAATTAGGAACTGATAAGAGAACAGTTTTGTGGTCCAGTTAATCAATGAAAAATAGAAACTTTGAGCTACCCATACAGTGAATTAACAACTGAAGCAATAGAATCTCAGGGGGGAAGGTTTCTTTTTCCCAGCTACCAGTCGCTTTAGGAACAGTGATATTTTGAGTTTTGGCCAATTGCCTGTGTATTCGTGTAATTAGTATTTTCCTCTCAATTCTCCAAGCTGAGATTGAGCGCGAGGCCCTCGAGGTCTATAAATTTTACGTTTAAAAATCTTCTTCATCCCTCTTTGGATCGCATAATTTCAGAAGATTCGCATTCCTGGATAAAATAGTTGGGGGATTGGACTCTTGACAGTTAAACTGCTTCTTTGAAACCAGGGCATGTCTCGTTAATTTTTAATTACTGGTCATTGCCGTGAATCACTAGTTGGAACAGCTATAAGATTTGAAAGACTTTTATTTTTAAAATCGTAATTTATGAAATATAAAATAAATATATAACGTTAATTAACATAAACATGTTTACAACTATTTAACACAAACAGCTTCAAACAAGCCCCTTATGCATGTGTGTATGTTGAATTAGAAACGCAGACATTAACAGTTGATGTTAAAAATAGGGTTCAACTCATAATTTTTTATTAGGCTGCAAAATTCATTGGCTACATATATATTTTCTACCGCGCAACATTACTTCAAATAAATTGAATCTAACGTCATGTTAATAATCTGCAGCTACAAATTAAATTTCAACTTATTGTTGCGGTACAACTTGTCAGTAAATTTTTATTTATGAATTTTCATTTTTTTAAGTAATGAAATGTGACGTTTCTTACTTTATACAAAATTATATATTTTTCATTAAATCTTACAGTAAAATAAATTATGAATAAATTATGAATAATAAAAGTTATTTCAACTACCAATTAATTAAGAGAAAACATCAGATTCCTAATTTTTCTTTTGAACAAGTACCAATATAAAATATAAAACCTATTATAAATTTCAGGTACAGTACAACAATTTATGTTTGGTTCAAACTACAAAAGAAAAAGATTACACTGAAGAATTTGTTTGGTTGGAGACTTTAAAAAGAAGAAAGAAAGATGAAATGATATAAGAAAGAAAGTAGGGGTGCTCACGGGACGGGACGGGACGGGACCGGGACAGGCCAGTCCCGGTCCCGTCCCGGTGAACAGGGACGGGACAGGGTTTTAGTCCCGTGTCCCGTCCCGTCCCGGTTCTGTCCCGGTCCCGTCCGGTGAACAGGGACGGGACAGGGTTTTAGTCCCGTGTCCCGTCCCGTCCCGGTTTTGTCCCGGTCCCGTCGGGACCGGGACGGAACCGGGACGGGACGGGACGTCCCGTTCCCCTCCCCCTTTTTTTTAAAAAAAAAAATTATAATTTTTATATGAAATTTTTTTATGTTATAATGCTTATTTTTTGTTAGGCTTCCAAAGATAAAAACATTATAAAAAATATTATGTAAAAAACTCAATTATATAGTATAAAAAAGGTGTAAAAATAATACTGTAAAAAAAAATACGATAAAAAAACACTATATAATGGCTTTATGAATTATTTTATTGAGGAAGGAGATATTGTTGAGATAATATTACAACTTAAGAGTTAAAAATAATTATTATTATTAATAAGTAAATTGAATAATCTAATAATAATTATTAATAAATAATTTTTTTAAAAAAAAATATCCCGGGACGGGACGGGACGGGACAACCCCGTCCCGCATCCCGTCCCGTCCCGGTCACTGTCCCATCCCGTCCCGTACTTGTCCCGTTCCGAAATTTTTTTTGTCCCGTCCCGTCCCGTCCCGAACTCACCGGAACCGGGACGGGACGATCGGAACGGGACAAATTGAACACTCCTATAAGAAACTGTAATAGAAAATGTCGGATTTGTCCCTCATCAAAGACGGCAATTATGCCAGTTTCATTTTCTACGGTGAGAATGCGGCTGCAAAGTGCTTTCGGCCCACCGCAATGGCCCCGAGGAAGCAATCTTCAAACTCGATATGAATGATTTTGTGGATAGTTACTCCAGTGATAAACTTAGGTGTATCTCTTAAGTTTGGCCACCGGGTGTGGGTTCTATCTAGTTGTCTTCTTTGATCATTTTGAGAAGGCTGGCCCTGGTATACAAAGCATGCTACTTTTAAATTTACAGAATACAAGATAAATATACTCGTTGAATCTTTGATATAAGACTCATTTAACTAATTTGATTAGATTAAGAAAGTTAGGTAAATTAGTTAATTATAAGAAAAGTGACATATTTTTCCTAAAACACCATAATCATCTTTCTTAATACTCCATCTCCCTCTTCTACTTGATTATGGTTGAGGGAGTATCCATAAGGATAATTTAGAGAAAATTAATAAATATGAAAAATGAGTCTTATATTTAGGACCAAAACCAACTCAAGAATTAGGTCCTATATTAAAGACCGGAGGAGTATAAGGAGTTTCATATCAACTTACGTGAATGTGTTTATAAGTTCATATTAAGCAACTCCAAATAACTAGATAATTGTCAACTCTAAAAGCACCATTGTTATAACAAATACAAGCAGTGGAATCTGCAAGATGAATGAAGTTGGCCGCAATGATCAAGATATTGAACTTTTGATGACACAATAAGCTGCTTATATTAAGTGATTATAGGCACTTTTACATATAAACTATTTATATTGAGTAATTATAAGCGCGTTCATATAAATGAAAATAAAATTCCTTTCATATGTTTATTTCATATTCCATAAATCATAATTGAAATGTTGCTTTTAAAAATCCTACTGCTATTCTAAACAAGCACTAAACCGGCATTTGCATTTGGGGTTGACAGTGTGATTGCTTTCGCGCGGCTAGAGAACGAGGATGCTAGCGGTGCTGGAGCAACGGAGCCCATCCTTTTCAAGTGACTGAACTCTTTTGTGTTTTTTTTTTTTTGGCTGGATAATTAAGCCAGCTTACTTGTTGATACTTAGGCCATGTAAACTTTTGGGACAAAGCTACTCAAGTTTTTTAGGACAAAGTGATTAGGTTGGGTTTTTTTGTTTTTTATTATTATTTGTTCTTGTTTGCTTTACTTCTAGTTTGTTCTACCTCTTTTGAGAGAAGCAAAAACAACAAAAAGGTAGGAATCACACAAGCACAAATGACCAAAGAACATTGACGTCTGAAACTAGAAATTTTTTTTGGGGGGGGGGGGGGGAGACCAGAGAAGAAAGGTATCTTCAGCCACCGTTCAACATTATTAAATAGAATAGAAGGAAGCGGATTTCCAGCAGCCAAGGCACAGTCCGAATCCAATCTAAGGAAAAACGAGACTCAAAATAGAGGAGCTTGGGGGTAATCAAATCTTAACACACACACTCATATATACTCCTCCAGTCCTAAATATAAAACTTTTATATAGTATATAAAGGTCTTATATTTAGGACCGGAAGAATATATAGTTACGTATTTAGATATGCAAAGTATAACCTAATTGGATCACAATAACTAAATGAAAATGGAGGGAATGAGAAAGTACAATGCTAATGACCAACACGGCCATTTCTCTTCTACCAATTTATAATTAAGGACTGAATTAAAACTGAGTTAAAAATTAAATGAATTAATTTTTCTAATTTTTTCTGCACTGGGAGATCTCAAAAAGGCCAGGAAGTAGTTTTATAAAAAAGTTATTAAAAACAAACATTGTTCAGGTCAAGCAGGATGGTTATTCTTTGTCGATTCTGGTTTGATATTACATATACAATTTATATTTGATTGTTATTATTAACAACTGAAGCAATCGATTTACTAAAAAGGTTAATGGAAAGATACATAAGTAAGAGAAGGGATTTACATATGATTTTTATTGACCTGAAAAAAGTTTAAGATTGTATGCCAAGAAACGTACTGTGGAAGGTTTTGGAAAAGAAAAGTGTATGGGTTGCTTATATCAAAGTCATACAAGATGTGTATGAGGGGGTAATTGCTAGTGTAAGAACGTTTGGAGGTGAGACAAAGAACTTTCCTATTACGATTGGCCTACATCAGGGATCTCCTTTGAGTCCTTACTTGTTTAATATTGTTTTGGACATTCTAATCAAACTTATTTAAGAAAGAATCCCCAAGTCCATGCTCTGCGAGGATGACATGGTTCTCATGGCGGAATCAAAAGAACAAATTAACTCTAGACTGGAGTTATGGAGAAGGATTTTGGAGTTGAAAGATTTTCGCTTGCGTAGGAACAAAACAAAATATATGCATTGTAATTTTGAGAAGAGGCAAGACAATGGTGATTTGGAGCTGAAGATGGGGGAACAAATCATTCATCAAGTATCAAAGTTTAAATACCTATGATCCATTATACATAAAGATGGGAAAACTGATGGAGACGTTTCTCATAGAATACAAGCTGGCTGGTTAAAATAGAAGAAAGCTACCGGAGTTATTTGCGATAAGAAGGTACCTGAAAAACTTAAGGAAAAATTTTATCAGACTGCTATAGGACCAGCTATGTTGTACGGTAGTAAATGTTGGGTGATAAAGGGAAAACAAGAGCACAAAGTTGGGATAGTAGAAATGAGAATGTTGAGATAGATGTGTGGTCATACAAGAAAAGATAATATTAGAAATGAAAATATCATAACAAGAATCGGTGTGACACCTATCCAAGAGAAAATGGTTAAAAATCGCTTAAGATGGTTTGAACATGTGCAAAGAAGGCCATTGGAGGTCCCAATGAGAAGGGTAGACCAGATAATATGGAGTCTCATAAAAAGGGATAGAGAAAGACCAAGAAGAACGCTTAACGAGATTATTGAAAGAGACCTCCTGATCAACAACATATCTAAAGACTGAATTGTTAACAAAATACAATGACATAGTATGATTCATGCAGCCGACTCTACCTAGTAAGATAAAACTACTTGTTGTTGTTGTTAACAACTAAACTAACTATATTAACAACTTCCACAATATTTATGGAATCTCTTGCACAGGTCCTTCGGAACTTCTAATTAATTTGCAACTCTGATGGAACTTTTCTATTGTATTCTCTGTTTGGGATTTTAGTGCGACTTTCCACTTTTCCCCCCCTCTTGTTGATTTTTATTGGAAGATAAATGCCAGGCATACCGGAATCCAAAAATGCATCGGAACTCGGGAAATTAATAAGAGGTAAAAATGTCTTTTAATTCTATTTTATTTGAAATTAATATGAAGGGGGAAATAACTGAGCGAGCAGCTTAATATCACGATTTAGTTTGCCGATAATAAAATAGCACAAGGATGACCTGATTGGCTAGCATATGGTTTTAACACTCACAATATTTACATTCTAGTTTTTATATTTATTTGTTTTCAAGATCTAAATTAATTCTAACATTTTTTTAAAGAACAAACTGGACAGAAAGTTACAAGAGATTAATAAACTAAAATTGTTAGAGACAGAAAACTAAATAAAATACCAATATTCTCACTTGCCAAGACCTATACAAAAAACAACCTGACCTTGGAGATCAAGTCAACTCACTCCCTCGCCTGAAAAATATCCAATTAGATCTGCTGCAAATCTGCAATCAAATATTCAGAGAATAACACAAAAAGCAAAACTATATATAGAGGGCTAACTTTCCCTTTCAACACTCATCTACTCTCTCTCTCTCTCTCTCTGATTGCATTTTACACAGCTAATTTGTGATTGCAGGAGATCTTCCCCCCAAGAAAATCCTGATGACAATGCCAAACGTTTGAAAAACACAACTTCCTTCGATATGGTGAAACATCCTCTGTGCCATAATTGTTGATATTCCAAAAACCTTTACAACCTATACAAAATCTGACATGTAAACAAGTAACTTCAGTTAGAAGATGACTTGATAGTTCCTCCGATCCTTTTTGTGTGGACTCTGGGGAAATTAACTGTGCCTATTAACATCATTTTACTTCTTTGAGTAGGTAAGATATGGATCTTGAGCAATGGTCAATACATCTGGTCTCTCGGCCTGGTTATATGTCAAACATCGCCGTATAAAATCCTGACAAAATTGTAGAGACAATATACACCGTTGTCAGTTTTGGTTACAGAAGAATGGACCTGAATTTAACACTGTTACCAGATGCTGAATCACTATTGTTCTATGCCTAAAACTAGGAACCTGAATGTAAAATGAAATGCCATAAGAATAAGCATAATTATTTCTGGCTGTGCAAAGAAGGAAGGATATTTTCTCTGTAAAAGGCAGCCACGCTACAGACTCACCTGGCACACAACACGGGGGCTAAAAAATGACAAAATAAGAGAATGAAAAAATAACGCTGGTCCCCTTTTTTAAAAAAATGTATAATAATTATAAAAGCATAATAGATATTGCAAAAAACGAAAAACAAAAGGAAGTCCTTTCTCCTTCTCAATATCAAGCGGATCGCAAGGATACCCCCCATGTTGAACTGCAGTTACACCCTCAAGCATGAGAGGCAGAGAGGGCCCTTGTTTCAATACCAAAAAGTAAAATGAAAATAACCGCGTACAAGCAACGATAGTCTTCCCATCATTAAGATTAAATAAATGAACGGTGGTAATGACCAACGAACTACCAGAAAGGTAGTGGGTAGTAAACAGGGAGAAACTCACCTTCGCCTCATTAGAAACCGTAGGTCTAGAAGGGAATTCAACCTTGCGAGCCTTAATAATTGTATCTTCGCGTAGTATACGCTCTTGACTTTGGTCATGGCCAAATGGACGCCTTCCAAAGAGCATTTGATAGAACAAAACACCCGCAGACCAGACATCAACCTGTTTTTCAAAAAAGAAATGTCAAAGAGGATGCATGAAAATTTTTTTAGGGGACTAGGGGTGGGGGCTTTGTGAGGCTACAGCTTCTAGGCATTGACCTTCGATGATATAAGAGGTGTCTTGCTGAGCTCAAAGCATTCTGGGGGCAAATACCTGCAAATTTGAATAAATAAAAAAGAAAAGTGATCCTCTGCCTATCTTTGCATCAAGACAGAACAATAAGTTCAAAGTTCTTTTCATGATTAACGTAGCTGAATAAATTATCAACCGGTTTCCTCCCCAAAGTATACTTCATCACAAGTATTACGACAATACTTTCATCCAGTTTGCGCATTTGTGTGTGGGTGGGAACATGTATATGTATGCATGCATATATAATTATATTATATATGTGGGGAATGAGCAGACATGTCACGGAGATCTAGCTCATCAAACTATAAATTTTGTGCAAGACAATGTTGGAACCATCTAAGCTTGTCCAAACAGGTCAGTATTGCCAGCACAACCCAAGGCATTAACTAGAAGATGTTCGCCAGAATGTTTATGTCCTTTTCTCCCCTTCTGATACCAGAATACAGCTTAGAACCGGTTGTCCAGGAATGTTCTCAACAACTTCGATGCTTATCCAACAGATCTCAAACTTCGGGTAACAAAAACATACCCCTAAAGCTAGATTCTTACAAATTAAGTGCCTCGCTGGTTAGAAGTTCCACTAACCAAGCAAATTGCTAAAATTGATACAACTCATATAATGTGGATGACAAGAGTTATGCACACAGGAGTATGTAACCATAATTTGTATACCAATAACAATGATCTGCATCACTTACCAGTAAGTTCCAGCCCCCTGAGATGTTAGTTCCATACCCTGGGATCCCACATCATCCTCAACTATTTTGCTGAGACCAAAATCAGTCACTTTGGCAGTGCCAAGCTCATCAAACAAAACATTTCCAGGCTTCAAATCATAATGAATAATCTTCTGCGTTCTTTTATTCAAGTAAACAAGGCCTTGAAAAACCTGAACTAGAATTACCCTCGCCTCTCTCTCAGGCAATATAGGTGTTGCCTTAAGGACAGCATCAAGATCCTTCCCTGAGTCAAGAAAAGCAATATATTATGAAACTTAGCAGGTCAGAAGTGATACATATGGCGTGGCTTGTCCTCAAAATAAATAAAATAATGCACAATGGTTAAGTGTATATACCACTACAGTACTCTAAAACGGTGCAGAATGTATTGTGATCTATTTCAAAGATGTCCCACAAACGAACAATATGATGATGTACCAAGGTCTTGTGGATATTATACTCCCGAATTGCATGCCGAATATAACTCTGCTTCTTCTCTTCACTCCATTGAGCATTTAAACCATGAAGCTTACATGCAACATATCTATGCTCCACCAAGTCAAAAGCCTGCTGGAAATTTCTCACTTTAAGTCGCTGCAAAAAGGTATAAATTTAAAGCTGCCAATGCAGACAGAGGAGTGGTCTAGATTTTTGCTTTACTAGCTAGAAACCTTCATGGAATTAAATGATGTAGTAGAAAATCAAATTTTCATTTTTCTCTGCACTTGTGTTATCACATGGAAGCGGCATTTCATCAACATATACATAAAAGTTCCTAGGAGGCAGTACCATAGATAAGGAGCCAGCTCAGAGCATCTTAGGACTTTTTTTTAAAAAATATATATATATATTTTTCCAGAAGTCTGTAGCCTGTGGGGTCTTCTTAACCTGGCCAGGAACCACCCCCGTTCAATTCGCTCAGGGGAGTATAACTGTATTTATTTTGAATTAATGTGTTAATCTAGTAGTTTGAATAACAATAAATTAATAAATAATTTATATGTTAATGTTTATTCATTTTAAATTAATATATTAAATACATTGATATATATTGATTCTTAAATGTTATTTATTTTTGTTAGTAATACAAAATTTTTTACAATATTTTTTATCATTAGAATGTAGCAGTGTTAGACATATAGACGATAAAAGGCCAGGCTAACTCCAACTCTAACTATTAGACATAATTCTCAAAAGTAAGTTAATTTGTCTTAATCCAAGCAGGATAACTCTATCCAGATTAAATCAAAACAATTTAGCTAATTCCAAGCATATAGGAACATTATCCAAAAAAAAACATAAAAAAAACATATAATCCTTAGTTAAAACAAAGCAAATAACATAGCTCAACTAAATTCAACATTAACTTCCAGCATATGCGATATATATTATTTTAATTGATAATACTCCTGACCTTGTAAACCTCGCTGAATCCACCCTTTCCAAGAAGATTTAACAGGGCATATCGATGGTTCAGAATCTGAAAGTTGTTGAATCGTGAGCCATCCTCATCTCGTATGCGTTTCATCTCACGTATTAGTCTTCCCTTTTCTAGTTCATAGCGATCCCTCTCCCGCATAATAACTTCTTCTTCCTGAAAATATTTAGGCTATTAGAAATGTTAGAGAGAAGAAAACAATCAGAAAAGTAGTAGTAACATACACGTTTAATGCTAGCTAGTCGAGACTTATAGATTTCATCCTGAATGACGACATCGTCTTCTTGTAATCCAGTATCTGCATCTGTTCCCTCGCCTTTATCTTCATCATATAACATAATCATCACAATTCAGAAACATAAGGCCAATACTTGCAATTATAAATCAGAAAAACGAACAAAGTGAGCAAACAAGTATCACATGATAAGCTAGCATCAAATAGCTTGAAACATATATTTCTAAGTTCCAAATGGCCATCTATAGGAGCAGATGGCCATCAAGGTCAGCTTCAATTAATCAAGGAAGTCAGAAGTAAAAATAAACTAGGAAAATTGTCCCCAAAACACACACACACACACACGGCAATAAATGTCCAGATTTATAAAAATATGTGAATGACCTTACTGAAAGCATAAACTAAGACCAGAAACAAGTTATGGGAACAAGAAAAAAAGGAATAACACGTGCCCAAGGGCAATCGCAATGCTGGCTCATTCAACACTAACATTTTAGGGATATAAATGCTAGAACTAAAAAGGAAACAGCATGGAAATAAGATATCCAAAATTTCAATTGATCAATATTACCAGATTGTTTTTTCTTCAATGACTTGCGCTGCCGCTCAATAGCCTCTTTCGTTTCTATCAGTTGTTTCTGGGGAACAAATAAAGAATCAGATTTAGAAATATTACCATTATAAGTGAATTCAGCCACAAATGCAACAGCAACAAAAAATGCATGAGCTTCCGGAGATTTACAACATATGGTCAAGATTATCAAAGAAAGATATAGGATCCTGTTCATATATAAATGAAACCAGAGAACACATTATCACATTTCACAGCTAAACTCAACAGAGGAGTAATAGTTGCATCATAAAACAATCAAGAGCCACTCATCCTATCATTTTGGTGGCTTTCGTAGTAAATCCTCAGAAGTCAGAACGCTAAGGATAACTTTTCAAATATAGCATTGTATTAAGCAATTTTACATACCTGACGATTCTAGATAAAGATAACCCTAACTCCCTAATAACTAATTCAAATTGGGATGTTCCCCTTCCCCATTCCCACTTCAAACTACCATGGGAAAAAGAAACAGCATCCTTGGTAAAAATGTTCAAAATTGACATGGTTTAGGAGAACTGAGACACTTCCTTAAGAAACAAAGGAGGAACTTTATGGTCATTAGCCGGTGTTGTCATCATATGTAAACATGTGATGAGAGTTGGTTATCTTCTCCTTCATTTCCAGGTGGCTGGCATCAAGGAAGAGCTGTGGGATAAGAATGCCTATCATTTGACATGATTTTTTTATGATCTTCAGATTCCACAATCAGAACTGTTTGATGAAGAAAATAAAGATTTCTCAAGCAAGTAACCTCTAGAATGTCTACAAGTTGGTTTTGTCCTTTGGCAAGATTAAAGGACATTGTAGATGTGTTGTAAGTTCCGGCTACTAGCCATCTAATAATTTTCATTTTCTTGGCCTCGTCTGTGGGTGATATTTATTGTGCAAACATCTAACATATTTAATATTCCAGGTAACATGAATTATTAACCCTGGCGATACCAAGAAAATATCAAGTAATACACTCGATAGCTTACTGAGATGTACAATTTCCCAGCATGTGACGAGCATCAATCCGTTTTTCCAAGCCCAAGTACTCCTTATTCATTTTTTTCTTCCCCTCCACGATAACTAGCATGCAAAAATATATTCATCTTCCATCTAGTTCATTTAGAGCCTCAGCAACATAGAAGTTGTCCACGTATTGATTGGAAATTTTACCATAGTTCCCATGCTGATACAGACATGCGATCCTCAACCTTGGTGTAAATATCAATAGGATGAACCCCATTTTTCCCTCTAAGATGTTATATTCATTTGTAAGGAATATTATATATATATTTCTGAAATGGTTGAAAGGCACCTCACAGAATGCATAAGATGGTGCCCACAAGTGATCTATTGAGTAGAAAACCAAAGTTCCTGTTTGTAAACAGGTCGCACTCATTTAAATATGACGTAGCTGTACTTATTAAGGTTAAGACGTGCCAATAACAAATGAGAAATGGAACCGTCTGCACCTTCTCTCCTCATAATATCAAACACATTTCTAATATAAACCATATCAATAAATGATAACATCATGACACACTGAAACTAGGAAATATAATCGCAATAGTGAAAAGATAGGAGCGAGAGATTGAGGTGAAAAAAATAGACATACAAGCTGGGCATTAAGATCCTTCAATGCTTGCCCATCTTCCCAAGTCTCCGATATGACAGTTCCGGCTCTACATTTCAAATCAAACATTTTAAGAAAAACAATAACTGAGACGATGATCAAAATCTTTTTAGTCTTTCAATGATCCACCTTTACCTGATTACACCAACATTTCCCAGCCTCAATGAGTCTTGTCGTACTTTCAACCTTGCTTCTTGCCTCTCGGACTTTGAGACTGATATCAGCAAATCAGATATTATTTTTGTCCTCTGCAAAATAAAGGAACAAAAGTAAAAAGGCTAGTTTAATTAACTTAGTGCAACTGACATCCACCAACTTCGTTTTATGCTGGGTGGGTTGCAGAGTGGTGGGCAACAGTAAATTTTTCTTTTTAATCCATTCCAACTGTAACCAACAACAAACTGAGAGTCCTTTTCCATTGCTTTATGCTATTAATGACTAATGGAATATTTTCATTCAAAAGTTTAAGCTTTCAACATTTCAAGGCTAATGGAATTATCCTTACAACCGTGTGCTCAAAATCTACCAAGTATCCATGTTAATCATCATCTGATGACTGGAATTTTGTTTTGGCCACAGTAGTGTTGAACATTAGGATATTTATGGTGTGCTTTTATTCAATTAGGATAGTTATGTTTGCATATGCTCCCACTAAAACACAATAAATTTGATAGATCCATGGACTATTTTAAATCAAACTACAATAATTGCAATAAAAAACTATGATGGTCCCACAATTCATACCTTAGGCTTCATTTGCTGTTCGTGATCTTTCAGATCCTTTAGTTCCTGTACAAGCCAGAATTAAGCAACATAGCAACAGAAAATCACCGCATCAAATTCAAGGAACAAAAATTCATTAATTTTCAAATATTTTTCACCTAACCATATATTTCAATGTATTTCATTATCTAAGGCCACTCATTCACGTACCTTTTCTAACTGGCGACAAAGATTCTGGTAATCAGACATCTCTTGTTTTGATTTCCTCAGATCCTCCTCCAATGCAACAACTTTTGCACGTAAAGATGCATTCTCCTCCTAATTTAAGATAACGATGAAGAAAAGGGAGAAAAAAAATTAAAATCCGAAATCTTCCAGGTTATAGCATTTCCGATAAAACTTAAGCTGAAGATATCAAGGTGTTTTCCGTCAGGTTTTCCAATAATAACATAATATGTGGGATGACTTATAAAATTATTCATAAAAAAGGTCCATGATGAAGTGTCAAATTTATATGTACTCATATTTACTCTTTTATTCAAAAAAAAACTTACAAAAAAAATATATTACAAAACTGTACTTAGTTGTCCTAAAACAATAGCAAAGCATAAAACTAAAATATAAAAATTTTAAGGACATGGCAACGAGGACAGACAAAATAGGCCTAGCCAGGATCTATTACTTTGTATGTAAATATTACCCCTTTTTTTTTTGTGACAAGTAAATATAACTTTGTACATAAAGATATGTATCCTTTTCTTATCAGAAAATTTACAGATGGTAACTAAAAATTTTAGCAGAAATCACACCTCTAATGAAGTGCAATTGTCGTTGCGAATCTGATCTTTCAGTCTTCCCTCCTACAATAAACATGAGTTACAGAAAACAGTCAGCCTAGCATGCAGAACAGCAACAAAAACCATTCTGTTAATGAATTGCTTCAGTGACATGCCTCCCAAAATTTATGAGACGATAATACTAAATGAAGCACCTCATATGTCAAAACCATTGTCATCAAAGAGGGTAAAACAAAGGGACAAAAACAGAACTAGACTTACTAAGCGTAAACAATCCCCTACTTCAGATTTTTGTATAGATATACCAGTAGAATTCACTGGAAGAGTGACAAGTGATTTGCAAAGGAATCAGGTTATATCTCCATAAAGTTCTTATTTTGCCCACATACAAACAATGAACCAATATTTTGTTATCTATCTGTTAAATTAAAATGATGAAATTTGTTATGTACTTTTCCGCTCCTTAATTTGAGAGTTGATGTTGGTCCTATATGTAAAACCTATTTCACATATTTATCAATCTTTTCCCAAATTAACCCTATTGATATTCCCTCAATAATAATCAAGTAGAAGAAGGAGGAAAGAAATTAAAGAAGATGATTAGAGTGTTTTAATAAAAACATATTATGTTAACTAATTTAACTCAAATCCTTAATCTACTCAAATTAATTAAGTAGGTCTTACATTAAGGACCAGAATAGTAGTATATATTATTCGGAAACAATGCAGAGACGGAACCGCGAACGAGACACAAAAATAAGGCAGGCTCATGGGATCCCATTTTCAACATTCTGAATACTTGGACCAGGACCTCTTCTGAGCCTAGATCAAGAAATGCTATCAGTTTACGATAGCATTACCAACAACCTGACCTCATTTCCAGTCAGATTAATCCTGCTCGAAACAAATGATTAAAAAGCAACTTCTCATACTTGCTTTATGACCACTTTTAAATCCCACATTCAAAATGATTTTTAGACATTGCACTGAGTCAAGTTCTAAGGGAATAATACGACCGAGCAAAGAATTGGCACCCAATATCAAAGAAAATGAATTTCCTTTCATCTCCAAGATACACAATACACATATATATAGAGAGACCCCCGGTCCAAAACTATAGAAATTTCAACTCAGACCAAACAAATGAACATGTAGAGATGCCAATTCCTACAATGCAAGCAGTTATGCTTGTTCAAGTTATATAGATGAAAGCATATTGCAGGATAAACAATACTATTAGGAAAGATTTTTTAGGGGAAAAAATTTGTTTCAGAGCAAGGGATGTACTCGGCATGCATTGTCCAGCTGACCATTGGAGGCCAAAACTGCTGGAGGAGATATATGTGTTCTGTTCTGATCAGTAACTCGGGAACCACGTCCCCTACCAGAACCAGAGCTCCCTCTTCCACGACCATTTTTTTTCCTATTCGTATCTGCACTAGCTTTTGCCTCCACAACATCCAAGCTAGTTTGCCTTCCATCAGTAACTACCTGATATGCAAATTTCTTGGTCAGAAAAGGTCAAAAAGCCATTTCAGAGGTAAAGAGTATATCTAATAAATAATCAAAGCCCCCATCATACAAGTAACAGTGGATGTAAATAGAGTAAAATTGAGTAGTTGGCCAAAAAGAAAGAAAAATACCCTGTGAGTTGCAATACGTTTATGAGAGATGCAGCTAACAGCTATTCCTCATAGCTAAAGCATTTTGAATCATCAGATAAAAACTAACCTCGACATGTTCAAAAATCTTTGAGTGGTCATCTTCTTGGAGTTTTTGGCGCTTCTGTGTGTTGGCTTGTATGAGGAATTCCCCGCCATTCTGAAATAGAATATTAAGCAAGACAATTTTACCAACACAATTCGTCTAACACAATCTAGGAAAGCTGGGAAGAATTTACATGTAATGACTTATCAAGATACTGTCCAAAAAGTACCAATAACTTTTTCAAATGCCACAGTCATGATAAAAATGAGAACTGGAAAAGCTCACAGCACTGTACAATGTTACATAATAAGTAAAGCAAGAGGCCACTTCCCCATTATTTAGCAGCACAGGCAAGTAAGGAGGGGAAAAAAAATACTCTTCATTCATATGACCCAGAATGTCAATCCCAGAAAGCCTAATGCATAGGCATTATAGCGTTTTTGCAGGTATCTGTTGCTCATATCTGTTGATATCATACCACACCCTCTTTTTTCCGTCATTAGAGGTAGCTAGTTACCTTGGACATCGTCCGACCTTTTCCCTCTCAAAGAAATCTCAGATGCAATCCCCCACAGGTCCATCAGAATCTTAACGGGAGAGTGCTCCAAAAAGGAATCAAACACGGAGTTTTAAAATGATTACTTTCTCTAGCAACCAATAAAGCTAACTTCATTATATAACACCAACCACGCATCATAGACTACAATGCAAACATCCCAACCGAAAAGCATGAATTTCCAAATCCATTGTATGGAATTGGATTAAGGTAGGCTTACATCATCATCGGAATCACTCGAAGTGGAGGGTCCAACCAAATCCTCGGCAGGTCCCCCAAATTTCGCAGCTGAAGGAACAGTAGACCAGGTTGACTGCTGGGCAGGCGACAGAGTGGTGGCAACTGCGGACGAAGCCTTGCCTACCATTCGAGCTTCAAGCTTTGCAATCTTGGTAGGCAAGGATTGATCCGATTGGTTAGAGGAGTTGGAAGAGAAATGCACAAGCATGTCATCCGACATTGTTGCTGCAGCAAATGCAGAGTCAAACTATTGATGTTTCTCAGATCATTCTAGGCAAGACAGAATATCCAAAGAAAACTGAACCCATTTGAATTAAGTCCCAAACAATAATGAAATGTCTCATACCCACTCATAGTCGGAAAGCAAAAGGTGCCGATTGCAGAAGAAGCCCCATAGAGATTCAAGTAACAGAAAACCAGAAAAGCAAATGAAAAAATCAGGTCAGAGGTAATGGGGTATGAAAACAGAAGGAGAGAAGGGGATGAGATAGAAAGCTGGGGGTGAGAGGGAGTGACGATTAGATGGAGAAAATCTAGGGTTTTGGTGTTCGGTAGAGGGGAAGAAAGAATCAAGACAAAAAATTTATTGGAAAAATAACTGAAGGAAGAAGGACACCAGAGAACCAGAGACTCCAGAGAGGCTGGTTTCCTTTTCTCTATAAGTTGGATTTTGAATTTGTTGTGGGCACCTTGGGACAGAAGAAAGAAGCTTCTGTGGGATATAGGACTGTGGCAAAAGTCTACATGAGACTCAAGTAAGAAAAAGGCAAGATTTGAACCAGGGGTTTGAAGAAAGTGGTGTTTACCTTGTGTGAGTGGGAAAGTTTTCTTGCCTAGAACAGCTCATAATAACAGGTTAAATGTAGGGGCAATGCAGGGGTCAAAAGGATTACATGCTATCGCAGAGAGAATGGTTGAGGGTTCTTCGATCTATAGCTCTCCACAATGCCATTTTAACAAAAAATAAACAGAATATTAACTAGATGAATTGCACGAAATACACAATCTCATGTGGTAACTATGATAAGCAGCAAGTCTTTTTGTGCATGTTTAAGATAACTTATTTTAATTAATTTTGTGCTTTACAAGATCAATGTGAAACGTATATTTGGCATATTTCTGAAATACTTTTTGGGGTTAAAGTACGCCCAGCACCCTAAACTATTTACCTAGGTGCGTCCAGTGGCCTAAAGTAATTTTGGGTGCATTCAGTGTCCTAAACTAATTAAAATGATGCGTCGATATCCCAGGCTAATAAAAATATTATGTTTAACTGTTGCTTTCCTGACTCAACTTAATGTTGACCCCAGATATTCTACATGGTAGACACACAGGCACCTGATGTGTACGTGTATTATTCTTACTCAAAGGTCAATTTATTTAGAAGAAGAGGAAGGAAATAAATTCAATTTTGAATAAGAACAATACATATCAAATGTCCACATATCGACCATTTAGAATATCTGAGATCAACTTTAAGCTGAGTCAGGAAAGTAACGGTTAAACATAACATTTCTGTTAGCCTGGGATATGGACGCACCATTTTAATTAGTTTAGGATACTAGATGCACCCAAAATTACTTTAAGCCACTGGACGCATCTGGGTAAATAGTTCGAGGTGTTGGACGTACCTTGACCCATACTTTTTACACTTTATAAAACAAATGTATGAGGTTTTAGATCAATTTAAAACTGTTTTAAGCTTCTTCTTCTTTTTTTTTGGGCAACTAAATACAAGCATGTGAAAAGAGAAAGCACAAAAATGAAGGTAATCATATCACAAGTTCAATTGTACCAAAAAAAAGATCACAAGTTCAAACCGCGCCTAGTTAGTATGTAAAGGGCTCTATATTAACGCTCCTCGTGGGTTTGAGCCCGCAGCAAGCTGTCAACTTTCCAACCCAAAAAAAAAAAACAAAGAAATAAAGGCAGTCAAACTTGACTTCCCGCATATTTAATAAAATAAAAATAGATATGGAAAAAATATATATATCTGAATGCATGAAATTAGAAATTAGACGTTTTAAGGGATGTTCTTTGTCATGATGCCAATGGCTTTATAATTTAATGGCACGAATGCTTTCTTGTAAGTGAAAGATTATAGGTTCAATTTCATTTGTAATATTTGATAATTAGTACTTGTCCTTCCTAGCATGATAAAAGAGGAGGAAATAATTGCAAAGTACGAAGTACTTGAAGTGAAAAGGCTAAAATAACATTCACCTTTAAAATAGAACGTAGTCTACCAAGGCTACTTATAACTTATTGATATCGTACGCAATAATATCCCTAATCCCTTCCGGCATATCAAACCATGGAAGCATCGTTTTTTCTCTTCTTTTTTTTTTTTTAATTGGAAAAGGCTCTACATTATAGCTCGGATATCCTTGTAGGCTTGGACATCAGAAAGTCCCATTGAAGCAACTCAAGAATGAAAACTCTGGGGCTTGAGAAAAACAAACCCCTCCATGCGCTATGCTTAGAGCTTCCTTAGCCAATTTGTCCGGGCCCATGTTAGCTTCCTTCTGACACCAAGCGACATGCACCTCCCAATCACGGTTCCTCTCACATTCTTAATCTCTTGCAAAGGCTTGTCTTCGTTGACATTAGTGCTCAGGCATTGTTTTTTCTCTTATTGCTTTTCTTTTCAAACAGCTCTCATATGCAGAAGACAACTCGTCTCCTGACTTGGCAGAAACCTGATTTTGGAGCAGTGAAGATTAATGTAGAAGCCTCCTTTTGCTACAAAAACAGAAAGGCTGCAATTGGAATTGTGGGAAGGGACTGGCAAGGAAGATTTATTGGAGGGATAGGGAAAAAGGTGGAAGCCAATTCAGCCTTTATGGCAGAAAGTTTAGCAATACTGGAGGTTTTGGAAGATAAGGAACTCTGGTGGGGAGGGGTGATGATTGTGGAGACTGACTGCCAAGACCTTTTTAATATAGTTGATAAGGGAGACACAAGAGGTTGTGAATGGCAGTGTGTGGATATAGTACAGAATTGTATTCAGTTTTTGAAGTCTGAGGCGGGGAGGAATGTGAAGATTTCTTTGGTTGCCAGGGGAGGTAATAGTGCTGCGGATTGCTTAGCAGCTGAGGTGTTGAGAGGATTGGTACCAGAAGGATGGTTCTGTGAACCACCAACCTCTCTGAATTTAGCAATGAAGAGGGACATAGAGAACTTGGGGTACACGCCTGTTGAAGATACTGGTATAGGTTAATTTGTAGCGTTTGCTTTCCTTTGTTTTTGTTTTCCTTGTCTTTCCTTGTTGCTTAGGTTGTATTCTAGGCTTGTGTCTTTTTTCTTGTCGGCCTGTGGGCTATTGGTGTTTGTAATATTTTTGAGTGATTAATAAAATTGACTTTTTTGGCCCAAAAAAGAAACAGCTCTCATATGCGTTGTGTGGTATTTTAGCTCCCAACGGCTTGTTTGCCACTGCACCTCCACATGCCAAAGCTGTTTTCCCCCCTAACTATCTCATCTATCACCATTTTCTTTGGTTTCTTCAACGTTGGTGGTTTTTTTACCTCAAAGCTTATGAGTTATGGATTAGAAGCCCTATTTTTATAAATTAGTCATGAAAATCAATGCACCCAAGTTATTTCGTAATAGTCATTGATGGAAAATAAGCCAAAGAAAAGGTGGGTTGGGTAGCCATTGCATCATGCCGAAGACCCTGCGGTGACGGATGAGATTGTTGAGAGCGAAAACGTTATACATCACATGCAAGAATTGTTTGCCAAACAGTCGATGTTAATTGATTTGGTACCATGAGTATCAAAACCTCGTGTGTATTTTGCGCAAAGTTCTTGATTAATATGTTGGCTTAAGATACATCCACCACCCCTAAATATTTTCTTTGAGTATTATTTTGTGATGTATTATAGTATCCTGAAATATTTTTCTGGTGCATCCAACACCGTGAAATATTTTTTAGTGCATTCAGCATCTCAAAGTGTTTTTTTT